CAGCTCTGTGAAGAATCCTTTCCGTATGCAAAGGTTAAACCTCTTTCCCTCTAGACACAAAGAGTGCCCCCTTGTCCTTTGCGGTGACCTTAAAGATAATAATTTGGCACCAGGCTCACTATATGGACCATTTATGTATTTATACATTGTGATCATGTCCCCCCTTTATCGCCTCTTCTCCAGAGAGAACAAATTCAGGTCGGTTAATCTTTCCTCAAAGCAGAGTTCCTCCATGCCTCTTATGAGTTTAGTCACCCTTCGCTGCACTTTCTCCAGTTCCACGACATCCTTTTTGTGAACTGGTGCCCAAAACTGAACTGCATATTCCATAAACATAATCATTGCAGCCTGAAACTTAGTAGTTAAATCTTAAAAATACATTCAAGTAACTTAACTATTAACAAAAACGTAGCTTGTGTATCACTCAAATCATCTCTGAATTTGTGCCGACGTTCTTCCTTCTGGAGGGTGGCTACTTTTGTTCCCCATGGTCCCTGTGTGTGATGCAAAGTAGCTACCAGTTCAAGCTCACTCCCATAATAGACCACAATCTCACGATTAGTTTACTAATTTGTAGGGATGTTAGATAGAAAAAAACTGCGCTAGGAATCAAATAACACTCTAAGAGCAGCTGTGGTTAAACCAGTATAAAGCAAAAAGCTACACGGAACAATAACGAAGACATATAGAGGATGGTGTGGGAAATGTTTTAGTGTAACTTATAAACATAGTGTGGAAAATGTTTACTTTATGTATACCCTATATGATAAATAGAGAACATAAAGCTCTGTATCAAACAAACTATAATAGCATGCTGGTGCATAAACCTTCTAATGAACTAATGTTTTTTTCATTAGAAGTTTATGCACCATTATGCAATCTATTAAGATTGTTTCATATAGTTATATGGACATCTTTTTGGTGTCCTCCAATTTATTATTATATAGGAAGTAATGTGGCAGTACACATACAATAAACTTTTCCCATACTTCGTTTTTAGCTATATTATGACATTTCCCACACCATCATTCATATACCTAAGTTATTGTTTTTTTTGTAACATTTTGTTATTAACATTAGAAGTTTATATATACTATTATGCAGTCTATGAAGACTGTCTGTTATAGAGATTTATGGATATCCCTTTGGTGTTTATATGGTTCCCTTTTTTAACATGGACCCCCCTCTTTTGTTACTCTTTTAGTTAACATTTTGTTTTTGCCAATTTTATATATAGCTATATTAGATCCGTTTTGTTCAGGACTGGCATTAATTCATGTCATGTATCTATTGAATATCCCGCGTATGCATCCTCCTCGACTCTCCTAAATGTTAAATGTTTTTATGTATTGTAAGATTTTCTTTGTATGTAAGTGAATTACTTTGTCGATAAATGCAAAGTAATGCACTTTGGAAATAAAAATAAACAAATGGGTTATACAATTATGGGTATGCCACTAGGGAAGTCAGAAATAGAGAAAGATTTGGGGGTCATTGTAGACCACAAACTGAAAAGGTAGCTTGCAGTGCCAGGCTGCTGTAAACAAAGCTAGTAGGGTTTTGTCCTGTATTAAGAAGGGGATGTATTGCAGGGAGAAGTCTATAATTTTGCCACTTTATAGATCAATGGTTCGACCTCATCTGGAGTACGCGGTCCAGTTCTGGTCACCAGTACTAAGAAAAGATGTCCTTGAGCTGGTAAGAGTCCAGTGGAGGGCAACCAAACTAATTAGGGGTATGGAAGACCAGAGCTATGAGAGGAGGCTACTAAATTTAAACATGTTCACATTGGAGGTGAGGAGATTAAGGGGGGATATGATTTCCATGTACAAGATGTTCAATGGTGGCAGCAACATTAGCGACAAACTATTTAAAATTAACTCCATTACAAAAACTAGAGGCCACCACCTAAAATTAGTGGAAAAAAATTCCAGCACAAGAGGCGAAGGGAGTTCTTCACAGTATGAGCGGTTAGGGTCTGGAACTCACTGCCACAGGCAGTGATTTCAGCTAAGAGTGTGGAATTGTTCAAGAAACTTTTGGACAATTTCCTAAGGGACCGTAATATACAGGGGCACAAGTACTCCTAAGAATGAGATCCTATAGGTTGGACTTGATGGACTAATGTCTTTATTCAACCTCAAATACTATGTATATATTATGGAGTCTAGTTTGAAACAGTTTTAAGAGATTGTACACACTAGCATGCATCCTGAATGGGGCGACACCTAGTGGTAGGAATTTGATTACCATTATGTGTGCTATAAAAGAGGAAAGGAGTTTGTAATGCACGTATGCAGACCGTCGCCTCAGAGGAAGTCACTAGTGAGGAAATGCATCAGGTGGGCGGATCTATGTGAGCATTACAATCATAGAGACAGGAGCTCCAGTGGACACAATCCATGTGCAATTGTGATCCTCACATACTTTATTGTATCCAGAAGTAATGGACTTCACATATGGTTATTTAGATTAAGAGGGAGTTGTACATCACTTGTGAGATTTAACATGTGATTTTCTATATGTACACATTTTATGAGATGTACTAGCACATCCTTTTTTTTTCTTCCTATGTTTATTATGGTTTATAGTGTCTAGACCATTAGACCTAGAGCTTTTTCTTACTATCATCAGCACAGGCATTGTGCAACACAGGTGTTGCGTATAACACAAAATCCACTTGTCCGGGACGCAATACGTACATATTGTCTTCATTTGTATTGTGATTCTTCCCCATATTGTATATGTCTTCCCTATATTGTAAAGCGCTGCGCAAACTGTTAGCGCTATATAAATCTTGTATAATAATATTGTATATGGCGGCCCGCAGAAGTGGTTATACCAAGAACACAGCTGCTGTGAAAAAAAAGACCCCGTCTTTTATATTTTACCAAAAAATTGGGTATTATATTCTGCTTCTGTGCACTTAATTTCATTTTAGTGTATTTTATCCTAAAAATACTTGTTTTATAAACATTTGCGCAAATACAGTGCAACATAAAAAATTGCAACTAGCATTTTTTTTATTCTACAGGGTCTCTGCTTTCGGAAAATATTGTTTGGGGGTTGGAAGCTGTTTTCTAGCCACAAATTCAGATTTTATCATGTGTGCAAATTGTAAGAAATTGCTCCGGACAGAAAGTTGTTAAAACAATCATGGCTTTGAGCTGCCAGATCCACGTCTCTATTTTTGTTACAATTTCTACTCTGTTATTACTTAAATCCCATCAATCACCCAAATATGTGTACCCATCTCATTTCCCCATGATCAAAAACACGATGGTCATTTACAGTGGGGACATAAATGTTTTTATTTCATACAAATGCTGGCAAAATCTTTGTTTAACCATTTCTTGGGTTTACCCCACACAGAATGTTCTGCAATCAGAGTCGAATGTAAATGTTCCTTTGTCTGTGATAAGAAGCGGCCATTTCAGTCATTCCGTAATCTTGATTTCAATGTTATACTTTTTCCTTTCTGTATGATGAGACAATAACCACAACCTCCCATTTTACCTCCCTGATCCTCCTCCGATCACTATTTTCCCCTTTACCAAGTAACTTCTTACGTTGGGTATGCACGGTACGAACTCTGGCCAGTTCCTGATGAACTGGTACCTATTAGAAAGGGAGAGTCTTGTTCATAAAAGGCACTCTGAATAATGCAAAGTACACCTTAGGTACTCTATTTACAAGAAGCCAATCGCCCTAACGTATAAGAGAAGAAGCGTCAAATTCTTGAACAGAAAATAACAGAATTACTATTACAAAAAGCTCTTTTCAAAATGGCCTTGGGTAAAAGTCTAGGCCTGGACGGGTTTACGGTCCCTTATTATAAAGCATTAAAAAGACATTCTCCTCTCCTATCTCTGTTCCTATGCTATATACATCTATGTCAAAACATTACGTTTAAGACTTATGCCTCTCCTTCCCCCAGTTGATATGGACCAGACCAGATTATTCCCAGCAGGGAAACAAGAGACAATGCCCTCAAGAGTTATTTCTATCTCACAACCTGCAGGCCAAGACTGCCAGCCCAACCTGCTCTTATCGACTGACAGAAAAAAAGCATTTCACAGGGTGGAATGGGTGACCACCCTGGTCCATTTGAACCAGCCCTAGAATGCTAAAAATGATTTAATAACTGTATCACCTACCCACTCTGACCCTGTGAATAGTAACCAATCAGCTTGCATCCTCTGATGCTTGATATTTTGTCTGCCCCAGTCCTAGTAAATTCCCCTCGCTGTTACTTGGAGTACACAATACTATTTAACATGGATACATCCGTGAAAGGTATTTAACACTTATTTGTTCATTTGCAAATTTGTCAGTGCTTTTGAGGTATAGAAGGTTTTTTCTGTTAATCCCCATTTGTTTGTACTGAATTAAATTGATTTTACTGGTGGTGTACACTGCTCTTAAAGCAGAACTGAGAGTAAAAATTTTAATAACCCTTGAAGTTGGGCTACCTCCACAATGCAAGGGTTAAGTGCTCGTTTTTGCCTAGGGACAAAAATAAAAAAAATTGCACTCACCTAATTCTCTGAGTCGGCTTGCTCTTAGACCGGTCCCTGGAGCCTCTCTTTCCATCCGTTGCAGCGGCCTAAGGTTCCCGACCTATCCTGTTCTATACACAGTTTATAGGACGCCGAGGAACATACTGTTGCTGCAGCAGAGGAGGAGACAAGCAGGAGGGAGTGCTGTCACAGTCGGCCGGCTTGAAGGATCTGAGGAGTTTGACACTGTTGTTCTTTAAATGCTTTTAAGTGTTTTAACTCTGCTTTGTAAACAAAGTAATGTGAATTTTGGAACTGCAATATACATTACATGTTTTCCTCTGCATTAGTGGCACAAAGAGGTTATGGCATGTTTATTATGCACAGTTAAGGAAAACATGGATAAAAACACATCCCTCATGCAACCAAAAACACTTGGAAAAGAAGTTCAAAGCAGTTCATCTATAAAATATAATTTGATATTTGAAAAGTGCCACTCACCTCCTTGCTGAGTTTTCACTTGAATGGGATCAGAGAGTGGGCCATCACCTACAGATGTAAAAGCCAAGACTCTGACAGTATAGGTTTCATGTTCCAGTAAGTTTCCAATAGTGGTTAAAAGATTATCATCCACATTATATTTTAGCCAGTTGCTGACGGGTTGGTCAGGCTCCATAGTGTAGTAAACACGATATCCCCTTATTTGCCCATTTGGTTCAACAGGTTCTTCCCACTGAATTATCATTGTAGTAGAGGTAAGCATCCGAGCTTGTACATTTCGAGGGGCACTAGCAGGTGCCTGCTCTCCAGTACGTGTCACTACAGGTTCGCTGGGTGGTCCTTGGCCAATAGAGTTAACTGCTGACACCCAGATCTCATATTCAGAGTTAGGACTGAGTCCACCTATACTGTATCTTGTAGTGGTGATATCCTCTTTGATTTGATATGGTCCGTCCTGAGTTTTAGACTTGTATTCTATAACATAGTAAGACACAGGGTCAGGATTGCCAGAGTCCCATGTAATTGTTATGCTCGTAGCTGTGGTCTCTGTTACCACGGGAGTTCCAGGTGCCTTAGGAAGGGCTGAAAATTGGGAAAACACATAAGAGAAGCAAAATATATTAAAATAAATATTTACGGTACTTAATTTTACTAATTTATAAAGTTTGTCAGGTTAAAAAAGACACTAGTCTTTTAAGTTCAACCAAAAGGCAACAATACAATAAAACAATTACAAAGCCTGTGACCCCCTCCCCTTCCCCATGTGATAGCAAAAAAAAAAAAGTTAAATAAAATGAAAAATAAACCCCATCAAAACGTGTTTTTATTTCCTAATGTCCCCGGCCGTTACATGCAAACACGCATTGTGTGCGCCCACGTAGAATAGACTGTTCAGTTCAGATTCACTTCAGGTCATGGTACATGCTAATACTGTTAAAAAACTTTGCCCTCCCAGAAAATACTTAAATCAACACTCCCCTTTTACTATGCCCCCCCCCCCCCCCATTCCTTCCTCTTCTTTGTGGAAGATTCCTTCCTCTTGCACAGGCTTTGCTTGTGCCCTGGTGTGGCAGCCATTAAGCTCCATTGACTATTTTTAACAAACTATTCTTTGAAAAAAATCATATTTCTGTTTGAAAGCACTTTAAACACCTGTAAAATTGAATCTGAATAACAACCACCACCAACATTTCACTATTTTTCTTCTGAGTGTGGTAAAAAAAAAATCTATTTTTAAAGAGGTCTATAGCCAAACCTTTTTGGGCTTTAGTTCTGTTTTGGGTCACAGGATCACATTTACTAATGTACTCCTGTGAGCCAAACTCAGCAGATAGCGAACTACTGCAGCCAGCAAAGATCCTGACAATATTGACAGCTGGCTCTGCTCCAATGAGCGCTGGAGGAACAGAGAGAGGGGAATCCCTACAGGAAACAGCTACTAATCAGCAGTTTGTGATCGCCAAGTTCGAGCTAGAGAGCTGTCATGTGACAGTTGCAGTGTCACACGCAGACTCAAACTATTGGGAAGAGTACATTTTACTCTCCCAATAGCTCTCTTTTAAATAAAGCACCTTCTACTAAGTGTATTGGCCCTTTAAGTGTAATTGGACTAACAAAAGCACCAGCTTTGGCTAAGCGCCCCAAATTACTGTAAGGTATTACTTGCTTCCTTCTCCAGTCACCATACATTTTAACATTAAATTGCAAATACTTTAAAATTATACAGGACGACCTAAACTTTCTTGCAATTGTTCAAAATTCTGCATTATCAGGACTATCAATTCTGGCAAAGACGCCTTTAACGATCATTCAGTACCTACTTACCTAGAACCTAGTGAAAAAAACCTAAGGGGTACATGAATTGCAGTTGAGAACATAATAGAGTTTAAGAAATAACTTAACTGTGTCCATATTATGCACATATTTACAGTACTTGTCCATACCTGAATCAAGAAAGCTATACTCACATTTAACAGTGATCTGAGCTACCGACTCAATAACCCCAAGACTTGACATAGCAACACAGGTGTAGTTAGCAGACTCCTTGACATTGGTAAGTTCTAGAACATTACGTCCCACAGGCATGTCATCTTCTGGGGTTAAATCTTCAGCGCCCATCATCCATTTCACATAGGGCATCGGTGAACCAACCGCAACACAAGTTATATTTACATTACCTCCAGGCATAATTTCATGGCTCATAGGTAAAATGGAAAAACGTGGAGCTACACGACGAACTGCAAATAAAATCAACAAGGATACAGAAGAATGACTTAAATAAAAGACTGAACATTAAAGAAAATATATATTGTGAAATAAAAATATATATATATATATGTAAACACTTTAAAATAAAAACTTACTACACAAACAAAGTGAGAATATAGAAACATGAAGCCATTATTCATACCAAAAGGGTTCCATATATCAGGAGTACACCCATCACAGCACATATAATACACAAAAATTTATTAGGAATTTCTCATCTTTATCCACAAGTATGAGGTTTCGCTAACTAATTCAAGTGATCAAATGTATCTATATCTACTAATATATTAGCCCCACATTATCAACAATGAATACTCAAGCTTATAAATATCTTTCTCAGAGATGATTCAATTCACTTGAGAAAAATGGTCTCATGTCAGTTGGACTTGGCTCTTATGGCAATTTTTATTAATCGAAAAATAGCCAAATGCAGCATATACCAGTCATAATGACTAAGACTGGTAACTATTTTTTGTTGTACCACATACCAGCAGCAGAAATGAGAAACTCTAATGAAATTTTTGTGGTTTTGGGGTGTAAAAACCCTAACAAAGCCTCTTTAGATTCTGACACGGTTTCATCGATAAATGCAGCTTTCAGAAACACAATCATCATGCAAAAGAAGTATAATTTTATAAAAGAAAAAGAAGAAACAGAAAAAAGAAAACGACAAAAAGGGAAGGGAGGGAAAGACAGAAAATGCAAAGGAGTATAACATAAGGGCAACTAGCAAATGCCCGCAATAATAGTGGATGTAGAAAAAGGCATCAGGGGATTAAGGGCAGGGAACCCACTTAGTGGTTTAAGCTATAGCATATGTGACTAAATGTGTTTCAACACATGGAGGCCTCCAGCCTTGGTGATATATAAAAGAGGTTATTCATTGTAAAACAAAGTGATGAATTAACGCTGATAGTAACAGTGACATGTTCTGTGCATCCCCCTTGCTGATAGGTGGATGCAGTTTCCATACCTTACGAGTTAGAACATGAATCAAGGGGTTGAGGTAGCCACTTTTCATGCGACTCTGTTCTAGGTGAAAACTTCACAACATTTTTCAGGAAATCCGATGAATTAGCTTTGACTGTACAACTTATTTATTTCATTTTACGGACTTAAGGCGAAAGAGAATAAGCCTTGTCTTGATAATTACTTAACTCAAAAAATCTAAAACAGTCAGATTTGTATCAATTGAAAGTTGAAATGAAAGTTCAAATATCAGAAATAAGATATATGAATACTCCACTGATTGCATACATAATGACTAATAAAGTGACACTAAGCTCAGTAGTCAAATCTTTAAAATGCATTCAAGTAACTTAACTATTAACAAAAATGTATCTTATTTGTGCATCATTCGGCTGTAGATCATCAAAGCATCTCTGAATTTGTGCCAACACTGTCCTTCCTTCTGGAGGGTGGCTACATTTTTTCCCTATGGTTCCTTTGTGTGTTGTAAAGTAGCCACTGCTCTAAGCTCACTCCTGTGATGGACTACAATCTCACAGTTTACTAATTTGTATTGGGATTGTTGTTCCTCACAGGAGGGAGACTGGAGCAGTGGCTACTTAACCACAAACAGGGACCATGGGGAACAAAAGTAGTCATCCTCCAGGAGGAAGGACAGTGTCAGCACCAATTCAGAGATGATTAAAGGATCTGCAGCCTAGTGATGCACAAATAAACTACACTTTTGTTAATAGTTAAGTTACTTGAATGCATTTAAAAGATTTAACTCCTGAGTTTTGTGTCACTTGAAAAAGGTAATACTTTTGCTGATATATCCATGTTCCAAAGAAGAGAGTCACAGAGGCCCCACCAAATCCTCAGGCACACTCAACATACAATGAAGTCAAATTAAGTAAAAAATAAAAGGAGCATGCAGACAAGAACAGAGGGGTGCAAGTCTTATGATGGGGCCAACATATAACTGAGTGCAGAGAGTAGAAAGGAGAGAATAAGCTGACAAAATCTGGTCAGCAAACACATTTGCAGACAAACAGCAGCATGTGATGCATACACTGTGTTGTCACGAGGGCAACATAATAAAGACTTTAAAGTTCTGAATTAAAATAGCATTTTAAAATATGAACTGCCTCTAAATACAAAATATCGGAGTTTGAAGAACAGGAGGAAATGACAGCACTTTGGATTTTTGGGGCAATTTGGATCTGCTTTCTATGTATATGGAAAAGAAAGCACTCATAGAGCATAAAGACCACAATTTGATGTTCAACGCTGACTAAAACTACATTAAAGTACAGTAAAGCCTAAACGTTTTTTTCTTTCTTTAGTTCTGGATAGGGTAAGACATCGGTAAAACCTCAGTATGGCTGACCAGCATAAAAAGTGTAAAGAAAAACTTCCACAACAGAAGGTACACTGAACTCTTCCTATAGGGACATCTGTTCTGGTAACAAATGTCTAAGAGGGGAACTCCCCCCACCATTAGAGAGATATTCTATCAATTATTGTTGAGTCTCTGGGAACCCTCTCCAAACAGACACGGCAAAAACAAAATCCCTAAGATACACTTTAAAGAGGCAGGGCTCAATAATTTGGGTAGGGCATTTAACTGGTACAAAACAAACTTATTAAATTAAATCAAGCATGCATTCTCCTTTACAGCATATTATTTTCTTCAAGGCTACAAGGAAACATTAAGCAGTAATTTAAAAAACACTGGTATCATACATACAGCCTTGTTTTGATGGTGCAAATAGCATTTTCTGTTTAAGGATACATTTAAAGAAGCCTCAGCTGATTAGTCAGATCATGTTTTATGCCATCAGCTTAAATTTCCTCTGTTCAATAATCTACTGTGCTCTCACATTTCAGTACGATTCAGCAGGTCTAAACAACATCAGAGCTTCAAAGTGACTAATATACTGTGCAAGTGACTAGGGGCACCTTGTGCTTTTTTTAGAATTTACATTTAATAATACAGCTTATTACTGTCCGGTGACATTTAAAAATGCATACAACCACTGGTGTAGTTAAACTTGGATATTTACATGGATATATTTCAATAATTTTGCCAGAGACTGTATCCACTACCATCCTACTTTTTTTTTTTTTTTGAAAGATCAACATTTCACCACTTCCTCATGGTTGTACGACATATAAGTGGCAGCATGGAGGCGGGCCTTACTCCAAGCTGCCACATAAATGTGTCACTGTTTTGTTTTGGGAGAGTGCTCAATCATGCACCCCCAGCAGTCACCAACAGCTCTTGGTCACCATCAGGAGCCAGGAGGATGGGACCCGATCATTTGATCACTGTTATAACCAACCAAAATTAGATTTTGTTTAATTGCCCTCTTTGGTGATGACATTTACGACCAAATGAAGGACCCAATTAATCCTGAAAAAAACCTAAGTAAATGTATTCAGATACACTCTGTAGTCACAAATATATTTACAGATTTACTAACACATGTTAACGTTGCAAAACTTGGCCTAGTTGGTAAAGTTTGTTTTACCCGCTACACTACACCTACCTGTCTGTACTGTTTGGCTGTTACCAGAACAGTGGTTAGCACTCTGATCATACTACAACAAACAGTTAAAATTGGTAGAGAGCATATGTAAATAAAGTACAATTACTTATCTACAAAAAGGTTTTGATGATACATAATTACCATTATGTCTAGTACAAGGATTATTTGTTGAATGAACAATAGTCTGTTAAAGAACTCCATTAAGAGCTATTACATTCTAACAAGCCTAAAACATAAGTTTCCTGTTGGATTGCAGAAACAAAATAAAACAAAAATAGATTTATATATTATATATGACCTTCGCATGCAAAACATACAGGGGGCGATTAATTAAAACTGGAGCAGACAGAATCTTGAGCAGTTGCCCCAGGCAACAAATCAGCTTCTCTCTTCAGTTTAATGAGTTAAGATTTGAACATTAAAAAGCCGATTTGTTGCCATGCACAGCTGCTCCAGATTTGGTCTGCTCCAGTTTTGATAAATTCCCCTCACTGTATATTCTGTAGCCCATATCATTAACAGTCATTTCATTTTTCCTATATGTATTATTTATCATACATCAGCACATTTTTAATTTGTAACTTAGAGTTTACACAGAGATAAGGACTTTCTCTCCGCCTTTATGAGACAGTCATGGCTCAAGTCACCAAGGACCAGACCCCACTATGTCTCTTCACTCTTGATGAGCAGAGAGGCAAGTCAAGGTAATGAAGGTAAGTTATGTGTTCCTATGGAGTTGTTAAATAAATGAACCCATTGCCTTCAAAGGATAAAGCACAGGTTTGCTTTAACTACAGGATTTCCTGATCCACAAGAGTTCTGAAATATTTTTCCTAAGAGTTCTCTGGGGCACCTTAGTTGTGGAGAAGAGAAGTGTGACTGGATAGTGGGCCAGCAAAAGGTTGGTGTCAGTTCAAGCCAAAGCCTATAATCAATGAAAGCCCCCATCAGATGGCTCATTAATCGCATAGTAAAAGATTAAACATTGAACACTGGCACTTCAATGCTGCGGTTTAAAGTGACATTAAAGTCAAACATGTTTGTCCCTCCCCCCAATGTTAATGTCAGCACTTACCTTAAATTATGTTTCTTAATCTGATCTTCTTTCTTGTCCTTTTCATCTGTCCCCCCAGTGCTGCGGCGGGTCTCCGATCCGGTGCTGACTCTTCTGAGCTTGCTGGCACTTCCTGTCCCACGGTGTCTGCATGCGGGTGCACGCGTCTATAGACTTACCTTGTGTCTCTCCTCGTGTCCCGGCCAAAAATGTTATCTGCCCAAGATGCTTTGCGGCCGCCCGAGATTTTTCACATTTTCGGACAGGAGCGCGCGGGGAAGACAAAGGTAAGTATTAACCCTTTTCAAAGCGTTTAAAAAAAAAAAACTTTTTGCATATATCTACTGCTTGCTAGTCAGTATGCCATATGTCGGTGGCTTTTACCGTTCTGCTATAACCTCATGGTCGCTTTAGA